CTATTATATATCGACACTGATGGCTCCTCCTGCCTTGATGAAGATTCAGTCTTATTCCGGCCTATACTATGTCTGTAAATTTGTGTTTCTCACATGGCACATTGTCATGGTACATGTTGTCCTTAGAGGGGGGTACATTACTGGTAGCTATGCATGTTTCCAATGGAATGTCTAGTGCAGCTTACATGGCGTAGTTGTCTGTTGATGAGTGTGTTTGTGTATATTATATGTGTGTGGATGTGTTTGTGCATACGTGCATGTGAACAACGGTCGGAAAAGTGTTGTGGTGATTCGTAAAAGAGTGACTTTCTACGGTGAAGTAGAGAATTGTCAACCATATTTGTTACTGTGCTCTGCTTGTTGAGCTCAGCCCTCCTCAAAGTGCACACATTTGTTTGCTTTGTTTCAGTCACCAGGTCTGTTCTCTCGCACAGAAATCGACCTGTTGAACATAACTGAATGAATGTATGCTCTTCTTACTGAAATTCCGTCAAACAGTTGGTGGAGCTTTTTCTTTTTTTTCTTTTTTTTGTTCAAGCTGTGAGTCATTGCTTGGAATGAATTTGCCTCAAATACTACCTCCCTTTGATATTAAATCCTATACTTCATATACTCCCCATTTAAATTGTGTCCTAAGGCAAAATCATGACATCGTAATCTACAAAACATGAGGTATACGGCTCCATACGTGACCCGGGACAAAGCTCAAATAGGAAGCTACAAAGTCAAGTATAACCGAATATCCTTAAACTGAGATTTTAGATCAGGCAGATCTCAGAGATGTGAGGCTAACCTGTTAATACAGACACATTACAAAGACAGTGCAGGGTTTACCTACCTGACACAGACTTTCCTGTTCTGCTCATGCATTCCTGCCTTACATGATTGCAGTGGGTGTGGTCTGAGAGACTTTGGCTGCTGGCAGCCTAGAAAATATATGAACTTTTATTGTTGTAGATTATCCAAGACGCATCAGGATGATATCATAAATGTAGCATATGTATTGAAGTAACCCTTGGTGTTCAAATTGGGAAACATAACTGCTAAGGTCAAACGGTCATTGAAGTATGCTTCTTCTCTCCCTCCTGCTCACGGACCCTTGCCAACAATCTTGCTTTTGACTTAAAACATTTTTTGAGAAAAATAAAAGTTTACATCATACACTGATACTATTTAATCTTAAGGTATTCACATGTCTTATTAGAAATGATGAAACTGAATGAAGTTTATTGAGACAACTTCTCTGCTGTGGTGAAGACATGCACTGGGAGAGTACAGTATGCTGTGTACAGTATTTAACTATTCCATTTGTTATTATGAATAGTCTATAAGTATATAGTCTTTAAAAAAAGAAAGCAAAATAAAATGACTTATTTATGAGCCTGCTTCGTTCTGTTTCTTGAATCTGTCAAGAGTGAAGTGTCAACTCAGCTGTCTGGCCTGTTTTATCACCCACACACACCCTCATGCTGTGCCTTATTGTGACTGGCCTCTATCCAGAGAAGGAGAGTGACTTACAATGGTCGACTGACAGGTGTACAGTATACTGCCATCCTCTTCCTGGTTATTGCAGTCTCCTGTTGCATGACTTACTTGATGCTCGGTGGCAGCCAATTTTGCACCCACAGGTTTTTTAAGCACCTTACAATGTTGCAAATGTTTTACTCTTGACTTGAATCCATGTGGTTAGGCATGGAGCCGAACCCACAGCGAACTGCACGTGAGATCAGAGGCCAAATAATAACTAAATACACTGGAATTCAGTTGCACTTACAACTTCCACCGTAACCTCGCAGCAAGGCAGTGACCATTTCTGTAGGTTTGCTGTGCGGGTATAACATTTGATTTTGCATTATTCTTTCAATGAAAACAAAAGGCCGCAGAAGGAACTATCTAGGCCACCTGGCTGCAAACCCTTTCACTTGTTTCCTTCTCCAGTGAGCTGCTAGGTGACAGCATGGGTGGTGACTAGGGCAACCAAAAGAAAGACAGGTTGCTCATTTTAAATATAGTCTGCTGGAGGCAAGAATGATCCAGTGGCAGATTAATTAATAAGATGTGTGGTTTCTGAATTAATAGAAAAGCAAAACACATTGTTGCACCCATGTGACACTAAAAGGTGCTGTGACGCCAGAGGGAAGAACTCGCTTGGACTTCACTTTCACTATTTTCATGATTTCTGACTAACTGTTTTCTCAGACTCAACAAGAAAAGGCACAAGTGATCATTATGATTCTGTGTTACAGTGAGACATTTCCCACACCATCTGAAATCTGCAGCTGTTTTCTGTCCTTTCTGATTCTTTTCAAAAGCCACAGGTTTACAGAAACCCTCCTGACTAAGCTTTTCCTCTCTGTCAACACAACTTGAATCTTACCTGGGTTTTGGCGCTGACTTGTGTTCATCTCAGGCATCGAGGACAAAAAATGTAACTTCCGGTCGATTACATCAAATATATTTGTTGCCCTCAGTTAATTACAGAGAAGTCCTTGGCTGTCACTGTTGATGGATTTTAAAGGTGGAACAAACTCATTTATGACATGAATTATTACTGTAATTATGATTACCGCATGTCTCATTAATTGCTACACAGCCTCTGGAGATTGCAGAAGGAGAACATTTCTCTTTGCTGTGCCCGGCTCATAACACAAGTCTGCAGTGCTACATAGATCTGCAGAAAGATTAACTGGTAGTTAGAATAATGTTTATTAAATAACAACCGAATAATGTGTGACAATGAGAAGTGATAACTAAAACACCAATATCATGATATAGTAATTAAACTCATATGCTACAATAAATATGTCAAATTGACAAAATGGAGTGATAGAGCTGGATCCATATCTGAAATCTGATAAAGAGTAAGGAAGAACAAAAAGTTATGTTTAATAATAATTAATAATACAAAATAGAGCTTATGCACATTGTTATTCTGAAGGATCTCACTCTGAAACCAAATTAAATTGGAAAAAGAAGATTCAACCACATGGTACACACACAACCAAAAAAACCCAAAGTAATTTCATAATTTGTCTGCCTCTTCCCCATATTCACTTTTATTTATTTATCTTATCAAAAACATGTATGCTTCTATCTGTTAAGTACATGACAGATTTTTTTGCCACAGGCCAAGCTGTCATATGTCTAAACTGGAGTTTATATGCTCTGTTCAATTTACGTGGGATTTATCCTGAATTTCTTGATTCCATATCCCACTTTCCAAATATGCACCTTAATTGGAAAATATACAGCTGTCTACATTGGTTGCATCAATTAATCAGTTTTATTTTTTATTTGGTGTAACCTTTCATTTGCTGTGAAGGGTGGACATAGGTGGGAATATTTAACTCAGGCTGAAGTGCTGCTGGTTAAATGTTAACCAGGTCAGAGCACGAGAATATATAGTCCATCTAGTCAACGTCAACAAACTGGTCACAAGTCTGTCTTCAGCCACTAGTCGGAGACAAACAGCCATTTACTGGAGCAACACCTGCGAGCTAGTGCAATCATGTGACATACACCACGTGACATACGTCACGCGCCACAATCATCTATAATACACACCCACTTTATTGGGCGGTCTATTTAAGCAGAGGGTATTTCCCATCACTCCCTTTGCTGCTGCCCGTGTGATCGTTGTGCCTCCGCGGGTCGCTCGTCTCGCTCAATCCGAATGAGTCCGGGTCCTCCGGGGAAGAAGTCCGCTTTACTCCCGAAACTCGGGCTCAGTCCCTCGACAGTCACTCAGAGTGTGAATCGGACCACAGCTCCCGCAAACCTCTCGGCTGTGTGGCCCGTGCACCGCATCCTAGAAAAACTGTGCGCCCGCAACGAGGAACCAGGAGTCTTCAACTAAATCTTGACTGAAGAAAAACTCCGCGAAGTCGAACAAACGCCGATAGCGATAGCGCTCCTCCCAAAGCTCCACAAACTCCTCCACCTGCAGATATAGTCCGTGCAAGGCAGAAGAAACACACCTGGCCCCGCAGAAGCTTCCACCCTGCCCCCTCTGCTGACTGAAATCTGCTCTTAACAATATGAATGAAACAATTCAGTCTACACAAAATAACCCCATCTACGTGACGTCAACACTGTCGAGCCGGCTCGTGCTTCCTGGTGACGTCACTCTCACAGGATTATGGGAGCTGTAGTCCCAGCTCCAGCCATGGGTTCGAGGCTTCTGCAGCAACAAGTCCTGATTCCCACAGGAATCAAATTCTAGAAGGTAATCTGTTTTGTTCACCTGGAAACACTCAAATATATGAATATAATATCTCTCTATATACACAGATATATATATATATTCTCAGTTTTTCAGTTTTTAATATCAGAAAGTCACACTATCCCTCTGCCTTTCATTATTCCTCCCTCCTCACTTATTACAAAAGGCAAAACAGCCATAAAGGTTAATGCATGTATGCCATCTAGTGACAGGGGATAGTAATGACACAGTGGGACGTCCATAAGCAACCATTATCCTTACTAGGGAGAACCAAGCTGATTTTAATGGACACAATCACAAATCCCTTAAATCTCTGTAACAGTTGATGTATGTCATGGCTAGTTTGTCAACCCAATGTATTTGAATGCTATAAATCAGGGCTACTTGGATATAAGATCTTAAATTTCAACTTGGTAAATTTACACTGGGTCACATTGATTAGACTGCATGAAAATCAACAAAGTTTCCACTCTCAAATTTTAAGTTACAAGCTACTACAACTTGTCTGTGTGGTTTCCCTATGCATCTAATGTTTATAAATGATTCTGTGCACTCTAAGGAGATGTAGACCAAATATTTTTACAATAAGATATCAGCATGTCCCTGTGTGAAGACAACATTGCTGAAACAACTCCAGGACAAGAGTTTTGGAAAGAGTTGTTTTTTTTCTAACCTTGTGTTTCCCACTGCTCGTTGCCAACATTTAAAGTAAATGCAAACACTGACATTAATAAAACAATATAAATTAAAACACTGGAGTCTGAATTTAAATGCTCAGTTTATATGACATGCTGTAGTGGATTACAGTTGATAAAGCTTAAACACAATCATCATAAATACAATAAAAACAAATCACTTGTATGTCGTTTCATGTGTTATATACAGTTGACAACTCTAGGAAAGCAAGGACACATCATATCAAACGGAAATTGTCCAGACTAAAGCCTTCATTAGGGGTTTATGTCCAACAAGTCTGGATGTCTTGTTTTGACCTGAAGAAAAAAAAAAGGGATCACATTAATATCAATATTTTGACTATGAGCTTACATTTGCTTATACCTGAGGTCAATACGAGAATAATAATAAAAAAATACCTGCAATTGATTGTCAACATTTCCTAGATGTGGTCTAAAGGCCTCTGATAAGTAAGGGTCTTTCATTCCCAAGTTATGGTATGCTGTAAAAGAAAATGATCATGTTAAACCTGCAAATTTTGAAGTCCTTGCTGGGAAACATTTTAAAATAAGTAAATGAATAAAAAAGAATAGCCAGAACACACCTGAATCAGTGAAGTCAAAGAAATCTTCCTCAAAAGCAGGCAGTCTTCTGTTAAAGGAGTTGCTCCTTTTCCTAAAATAGAGACATTATGATCAGTTTTACATGTCAGTGTTTGCCACTTTGGCCATTGATGTATAACTGTATTGGTAGATACATTAAGGCATCATAACTCACCAAACTCCTGTATACTTCTTTTTGGCATAGATAGCAATGACAATGACAATCAAGAGCAGGAGTACACCTGCCAATGACCCAAACAGGGCTCCATAGAAACCTGGCCCCCGACGGTAGAATTCACACTGCGGACCGTAATACTGATGCAGGCTTGACTCAAAGCACCTGGGTTCAAAAGACACAAGAATGAACTGCATTGATAAAAGTGTATTTTTCAGTGAGTATTCAAGTATATTAACATAAATGTTTAGTCTTACCGACAAATAGGCCCTTTTCGAATATCATTCAAGCACTCTCCATGCTGATTGCAGTAATTAGGATTGGTTTTACAATGTCCAACGCACTGCCATCGACCATTAGTTACAATAGCAGTGTAATTAGCAAACCCACTGCAGTTAACGTAAGGCTCCAGGTTTGTAATATCTGATAAAAAAAAAGAAGTTTATTTTTGTTTACCCAACATTTTGATACCATAATGCAACTAAGTAATAAAAAAAATCGCACATATTAAATGAAGAAACTAAAAAGCAGCAATATGTCAAAGGTAGTTATATACTTACTGTTAATTTCAGGTGGTGGGAAGGTGATTTGATCTAACGTCACACTGCTGTTATTAAAGGCCTGAGAAATCTTATCCAGGTTACTTGTGGTGTTCAAGATATCAGTCAACACCCCATGAAGCTCATTGTTGATAAACTGGATTTGTGTTTCATTATTTAGATAGCTGTACTCTGCCACACTTGCTGCAACAACACTTCCGTTTCTACAGGAGGAAAATAGAAAGACATTAACCCCAAAACTCAGCCTGCATTGAATTAAAAAGTCAGTGAAATCACTTAAAGTTAAGAAAAAACTTACGATAACTTGATGATTTGTACTTTTCTAAAGCTTTGTGGTTCTGCTTCTTTGCATAGGGCTTGAAGCTGGAACATATAAAAAACGGTATTAAAGTTACACAAAGTTATGGCAATTAATGATTGTTTTTGGATAGTCAGTGAGAGCAAAAGTCACTATAAAACCAATATCTGCAATTATTTTTACCTCTACCAAGGAGATTGTTTTCATTGCTGATTTGTCTGACTATTACCATGATTACGTAAGAACTACTGAACCTATTTTACTGAAACTTCACAAGGGTGGGGTATGATCCAGGAAAAAAGCCATTAACCTTTGAACCAGATTAGAATAACGAGGCAGATCAACTGATCTTTTTTCTCCCTTTCTCATGGCAAGATATGAAATTAGCCTTTGTGGGGGTATATACCCCCTGAGCATCCTTCAAGTTACACAAAGAGATCAAATATCCGAGGATTTTCTTATCTTTTGTCTAATTTCAGTTTCAATGAAATCTGTAGTGCAGTTTCTGTCTAAACCTGCTGACAGACATCAATTACTAAAGAAAATACAACCTTCTTGGCAGAGGTCATGGTGATTACATGTAACAATGAAATTAGAATATTTACCTGCAGGACTAATGTGTTGATGAATTTTTGTGATTGAGGTGAGTTTAAATCATTAAAAGCAAGTTGAAAATCCATCTGGACTGACAATGTAAAATTAGTTTTTCGAGTTGGTATTGCGTCAGTATCTGCAAAAAAACATGGG